TGAGAAACCCGGCCCGGGGCCTTTGGCTCAATATCCTAAACACAAGGCAGTGGGGGCAGATCCAGGTCGAGAATATGATTGCAGTTACCGTTTGGGATCTGCTTGACGGTGCTCGCACGCAGCCTTTGTGATACTGGAACGATGCATATTTGTTTTGCGACCGTAGTAGGATACGTGCCTGCGAGCACGGCCAGACGCTGCAGGGTACAGGCGGGTTTGCACCAATTTGACTAGGGGCTTCCTGGCTTGACGCTGGCAATTACAGGCTATTGAGCACCCGGAGGTGTCCTCCTACCGTCAGAAACGATGCGAAGAGCTCGTGCTCTACACTTATCGAGCCGTGGATCTGTTGTCGCCCATGGCTATGTTTTAAGGGAAGAGTGCCATCGACCACTTCCTAATCTCCGAAGAGCTTGGAGTAGTATACTGTCAGAGCGTCGACACCTAACCGGAGAACGACTCGCTCCTCAGCCCAAGCCTTCCATTAAATGTACACCCGAAAGGCAGCGGGTCAAGCACACGGTCAGTTCACTGACGCATGCGGATTGGTGTCCTGGATCTGAACAGGAAGAAGGGCGTAACCCAAATCGCACCCAGCGTTCGCCACGAGAAGACGTTCGGGACATGAACCCATGGCGCAACAGTAGCAGCAGTGGGTAGACCATCTGTCAGATTGTATCCACGACCATCCTCAGCGCACCATAGGCTCTTCTGTTACCGCTGAGTGCCATTCATTATTCAGTATACAGGTCAGCTAGCGGTGTGAGGCACCTCAGGTACTGTGCCGCAATACATAAAGGAAAATGAAAATAAATACAACAGTTGCATGCCAGCTGAGCTACCAGCAACGGATAGGTATCGTTCCGGTAAGCTACCAGCCGGCTACTAGGCAAAAAGAAAAAAATGATTATGTTTTACACTATTGAATGATATCGTAGAAGGAGGGGAGGGACAAAGAAACTCACAGCACGAACGCCACTGAGATCGGCTCCTTGCCATGTCAGCAAGTGTATCCACCCAAACGAGTTCACCGTCTTTTGGACCCCAACCAGGGAGCCGTGACGCTCCAACCGAGGCCAGCTCCGAAATGGGCCTTCATTCCTCTGAACCAAGTCATCGCTTGGCCACCCCTCCTCTTCTTCCATCCACATCCCCGGTGAGCAAACAACGCACGTCGTGGAAGTCGATGGGCTGGCATACGCAACACGTGGCCCAGCCATCGGAGCCTGATGCGTGAAATAACGGTGCTGAGCGGTTCAGTTTCTTTCCCTGTGCCGTAAACAATGCGTCGAACACACTCTTTACTCACGCAGTGTTCCTACCAGATGTGAGCCAAACTGCGAAGGCACCGGTGGTCGTACGTAACTAGCCTCTTCAGATCCGCTGCTTTAAGCGGCTAGGTTTCACAACCGTATAATAGGGTCGAACGTACTGCTGCCTTGTACACCCTACCCTTCAGGGCGAGAGTAATGTCGCGCCGCCGCCATAGGTGGCGAAGGTTCGCAAAAGCACTTCGAGCTTTCGCTATACGGTTCGTGATCTCGTCTTCGATCCCAAGGGCGCTGATACAACTTCCCAGGTAGTTGAATTCTCGAACGACTTCTAGCTGATCGCCACCAAGGCTCAGCGCAGCAAGCGATCATTTCCAACCTTGGCGGAACGCTTTGCATTTCGATGGTGCAAAGCAAAGCCCGAAGCAGCTGACAGCCAGTGCTAATCTGTCCAGCGCGGCTTGGCACGTCTGGGAGCTGTCACGGATGAGGACAATGTCGTCTGCATACCCCAAGTCAAGAAGTCGTTCTCCTGGGAGTAGCTCCATACCTTCCAAGTCATGTCCTGTAAATGCAATCTCCATGACTTCGTCAATAGCGAAGTTGAAGAGGAAAGGTGACAGCGGGCATCCTTGTCTCACAACGCTGGCGATATTGAAGGTTGGCGAAAGCTTGCGCGTGCTATGCGCGTATAATGCTTGGATAATATTTACATATTTCTCGGGCACACCTTTCCTGAATAAACAATTCCACAGGGTACATCGATCAACCGAATCGAAGGCACCTTTGATATGCAGGAACACGACTACGGTGGGCCGCCAATATGTGTGACGGTGCTCCAACAACTGACGCAAGGTAAATATGTGGTCGATGCCGCCAAGACCCCGCCGAAACCTGGCTTCTTCCTCACGAATCTGGCCTTCACGAGCGCCAGTCAGCCTGTGAAGAATTATCGAGGGGAGTAATTTGGAGGCAATGGAGATCAGACTGATTCCTCTATGGTTGCCGCATTCCGAGCGCGAGCCGCCTTTGAAGATGGGAACAAAAACGGAGCAGCTCCAGTCGGTTGGGACAGTCTTCTGCTCCCACAGTTTCACTAATAGTTTATGTAGAGCATCAACAAGATCAGAACCTCCGAATTTGAAGAGGGCTGGAGGAAGATCATCTGGTCCAGCGGTTTTGTTCAACTTCAACAGTCCGATCTCACGTTCGACTTCTGAGCGAGAGGGTGGATCCAAAGGGACAGCCCACGGAGCAGGGCGATCAATGGCCGGCGAAGAATCGAACAATTCTAGCCGAATCACTTGACTTCAAAATGCTCAACCCAACGCTCCAAACGTTTTGACAAATTGTGGATAGGCTGTCCACTGTCATCACAAATTGTTTCACCAACACCAGGTCTCATGTTGCCCGTTTCCCGTATCAGACGGAATAACTTGCGATGGTTTCCAAGGGTAGCGGCGACTTCCATCTCTGACGCACGATGAGACCACCAAGATTTACGGTCTCTCTTCAAGCTAGCGCGGAGTTTTGCCCGGAGCGCTTTGCGAGTTTCATTGTGCTCGCTTCCAGCCGGGATATCCCGGCGAGTGTCGATAAGTTCCAGAGACCGAGAAGAGACCTAATGTCCATGTTGGCTTTTAGACATACCACATGAGGATTTGCCCGCTGCTAGTAAGGCCTGTTGCATATGAGACCAGTGACCATCAATTGCCTCCAGTGAGCGATTGCTCAACTCGCATGTCAACGTACTTCGATACGCATTCAGAACAGCTGACTTTGTCAGTTGGCTAGTGTCAATGCGCTCACAGCGTCGTCGTGGGCGTCCGCCAAAGCGCATCCGCATGTCAGCACATACAAGCGCATGATCGGTGTCCACGCATGTGCTCCAAATCGAGCGCCAGTTCTGGATGCATCCTCTCCATCGGTAACTTATCGCAATACGATCGATCTGCGTCCAAGGCTGGTTCGAGGCTGGTGGGCGCCAAGTCACCCTCCGGCGGGTGCTGTGTCGGAAATTAGTGTACGCAAGAAATAAGCGAGCATCCTCACACAAATGAAGTAACCGCTCACCGTTATCATTACGGGAGCCTACACCGTGCTGACCGCCCAGATGCATTTCATCAGTGGACAACTTTCCAACTTGTGCGTTCAGATCGCCCGCCAGCACAACAGTGTCCATGCTTCTTCTGTGGCGAAGGAACTGGGTCAGTTAGCGGTAGAACTCGTTCTTTACCGAGTCATCGCTACAGTTTGTGGACGCGTAGGCAGCGATGATGAATAGACACCTATTAGTTCCGCGCGACTTCGAAGCTTTGAACGAGCCAGCCAATCGGACCGCACACATCCGGCTACTGATTGGAATCCAATCAACCAGAGCAGTTCAGCCCGGGGACTCAGGGCGATACCAACACCAGCTTGGCCGGTGCTCGAAGCTGCATCATCACCGGATAGGCGCAATGTGAAAACACTGCTAGTGTCACCTGAAGGGGATCGCAGAGTGAGCACAGAGCTCCAGTCTTGCAGGCGGGTTTCTGATAAGCAGCAGATATCGATCGAGAGGGTCTCCAATGTTCGGGCAAGTGCTGTCTGTTAACCGATCTGTAGTAATGTGCGTACACTGAGGCATGCCAATCTGAAGGAGGATCGATGGCTCCAAATGGAAACCGATGAACTGGAATGGACCGCTGGATTGGACATGGGTTTGTCGATAGGAGAGGAGTTAGGCTCCGCGTTAGCATGTGAGTTGAAATTAAAAGATAAATGCCTAGCAAAACATGTTGGCGGAGGGCAAAGAATCAGGGGTTGAAAACTGGGGGAATAAAAGTGAAGTTGGAAGGGGACGGTAAGAGTGAAAAAGCGTAAGAGGGGGAATAAGAAGACGGGAAGGCTTGAGCAGTAGCATCCAAACCCCTATCCACCCTGCTCAATGCAGCAGATAGGGCGCCGTTGATTATCCTCTGCGGTGGCCAGAGCATCAAGAAATTGTTTGACGAAGGATTCATGATATTGCGTGGGCAGGATACTGTCAGGTTTCCCAGGCCCAGACAGGAGAACGATTAGGGTTCTCAACCAAAGCCTTTGGTTCAAAATTCTTATCGCAAGCCAGCGGGTTTGGCGTTGCGCTACAAGGAGTCCGTTTTAAGGAATAAGGTGCCACCGTCATTCCAAGCCCCAACCTGGAGGACCAGGAGGCTGAGTTTGTCTGGCCTCTAACAATTGACCAATCTGGTATGAATGACTCTGAAGGTGCAACAGGACCATCCAGCATAGCTCAATGGATCGCTGAGGCACACAAACCATCGCACCACAGTAAGTTCCAGCCTCATTGCGATGGACCGTTGAAAGTATATACACATTTATACATACTTATGTGTTGTGACATCATACAGTGAACTACTTGGCTTATTACCATTCCTAATGGGCCACTTGAAATGACACTTGAGCGGAAACGTGATTACATTCCTGCTTGCATCTCGGTTTTCAAAGCTACTATGCGAAGCATCTGCTGGTTCCCGTGCCCTCCAACTATACCAACAGGTTGTTTCCTAACCTTACTGATATTAGTTTGATGAATTAACTAACTCAATGGGCTTTTGTTTTGCGTCTAGATTAGTTTGAAGCATTGATCTCCTATTACATGAAACCCCGCAGAACGGTGATGTACTGACTGTCGGCCTTACGATGTTTTCTCTACTTTTCCCACTGATGTTTATTATCATTACACAGTTTTGCTTTGCTCCGATGGAAGCCATATTCACTCCGTATTTGGCTGAGCAAGGATTTCCGATGCACCACCTGGCACTACTTATCATATGCATACTCCCCGTGCGATGGTTTCTGCCACTTCTGGCTGTTCGATGGACAACCCGAGCAGCTTTGTTACAAACGTACATCACCTTGGGTCTCGCGCGGTAAGTCTGAGAACTAATAGTAATTCGGTGCGATGTGAACTCATGCAGTCTGTTGCCCATCCACGATTTCTTCCAAGAACACGATCTCTTTATCACGTTTGCCCAATACTTCTGTACTAGTGCTGCTCAGTGAAAGTTTATTGGTCATGTGGGTACAAGTTTGCTGCTGCTGGTCATCTGTTACCTGAGGCAAATAGACATAACAACTGCCTCCACTCGCGGAACCGCCCACTTGACTTTAATGCGCAGTAACTGAGCAAAGGCTCCGATATCCAGCAGGGTTGTTTGCCAATCTGTGTATGGCATTGATCAACTTCTTGCTGCACTGCATCTTGAAGTCAGGTTCCTAACGTTCCGTAATGGTTGCTTAGCTCCATACCTATGGTCTTTGAAATGTACACTTGTCTGACTGAGGATTGGTGCAGTTAGCAGATAAACATTGAGAAGAAACACACACAAGACTTCTACCTAAATGTTGTATACATTTCTGGACTACACGCATTGGCTACACGCAGCTCGAACATTATGCGGTGAAGTAATCAGTAGCACTAATAATAATAAAAGTGTTTATTTCTCGTTTTATCGAGAAACTGTGCCCACAAAGAAACTGGTAGTAGATAAAAGTGCGACATACACACACATGCAGCGTTGTCAATGTTTAGGGGTTATACAGAGATGTAATAGTAACGTTTGGGAAGATTTTTCTGGGTTTCCATTATCCTATCCTATTGGAACACAACCAATCTCGCTTTTCTTCCGGCGCATGTCAAAGATACCTTGGAGGCGGCAGGCTCAGGAAATGGGAAGGAACGGGAAAAAGGATAAACTAATAGGTCATTAACCAAAATCATAGTAGTAGCACATAGTCGTCCATAAGCTTCTAGTCATAGAGAGCAAGATATCTGGACTTAGTGTAGTTTGGCTCATGTTAGAAAGTGAAAAAAATATAGGATTAATAAATCAATATAGCTGCCTATGAATATTTAGTGTTACAACTTTGTTGGCCGAGTAATGTAAGGTAGTAAGTGTGACGTTAGTATCAGATCAAAGTGAGCAGATGGACCAATCGAGCGAACCAGACAGCCATTGGAAGGCTGGCGTGATGGATTCGATTACTGGACTCGCATTGGCTGATATTCGTATAAGTGATTCACCGTTTGCTTAACCGAAGTAAACGATGAACCTCATCAACTCAGAGGGTTCGTTAGTTATGGACTTGAACCTGCAATTTACATCGAGGAGTTTGGTTTGCTAAACATGTAATTTTCTTTGAGCTGTCTTTACCGAATAAGCGCTTGTCCCTGAAGGACCGAGTTCTGCAACGTGAAATCAGAGAAGACAAAGACGAATCCCACCGGTGGCGCGCGGTTACTGTTCGAATCACCAGCGTTTATTGAGATGCCTCCGTCACTGAACATGGATGAGCGGAACTTAGCGAGTAATTGACCTCTATGGAAGAGCAAGTGGGAGGATTTCACCACCTTAGTACGTTTGAACGAACAACCGATGGCGTATCGCTTGGTCATGTTTCGACACGCAGCCGGGGATGACGCGCGCCGTGTTCTAGAGACATTGCACTACGACAGGGGCAAAGATCCCAATAAATTGGAGACGGCCGTTGAAAAGTGCAGTGAACTTTCTGAAGGTCAAACCAACGAGACCTAGCAGTGCTAAGTTTTCTTTTCGCGCAACAGCGACTCAAACGAATCAGTCGATGTATACATCACTGAATTGCAGATTTTGGCCCAAACCTGTAAGTTCTGTAAATGCTTGGACGATAGTCTCATACGCGGTCGGATCGTTCTAGGAATCAATGATGAAAGTATGACAAAGCGGCTTTGCCGACAACGAAACTAAGCGCTCCAGCAGTGCATTGATATCTGTAACATTGAGTCCTCGACCACTTAACAATACCGACAAATGAAGCTCGAAACAGCTGCAGAATTGTGTGCCGTTTTCGGAGGAGAAGCAGTGAAGGCTATTAAGGGGAGACAGATCTACCAATTTTGCGCCACCCGACATCCGAGAACCTGCGAACAGCGTCCGACTAGGGGACGGAAATGCATCAGATGTGGAAAAAGGAACCACGTTTCTCGTTGTTGCCAATTAACCAATGTGAGTGCGGTCGTTCGTGACAAGTCTGCCGTAGATGCAGAACATACAATTGGCAACGTGTCTCGGAAGGTACCGCAACAATGTGTCTGCGTAAGTCTTTTGATCGAAGGCAACGCGGTAGTTAGACATAGATGGTACTGTCAATATTTTACCAAGGAAGCACTGTCCTGGAGTGTGCATTCGATCTGACCAAGTTTGCTTGCGTATGTGGAATGGTTCCAGAATTCATCCGAAGGGCTCAGCTATAATCGTAGTGGTTAACCCAAGAGGCGGAGCCCCACGTCGACTGGAGTTTGTGATCGTGGAAAACGAGCTCACGCCGATTTTCGGCATTGATTCGATCCAGTCTCTCGGTTTTGTTGTTGTTAATCATGATCGTTATTGAGCATGTTTGCTAGGGAGAAACCGATATTAGTGACCAGTATCCGTCTGTGTTTAACCCAGGTTTAGGAAAGTTTGGGGGAACCACTCACTTGTCCTTAGATCCTTTGTTACAGCCGACAGCGATACAGGCTAGGAAAGTTTCATTTGAACTGCATGACAGGTTGTCCGCTAAATTGAGCAAATTAATGAGAGTGTGTGGTTACCACAGTCGATGAGCCAACCGACTGTGTTAGTCAGGTCGCAATCATTACAAAGAAGACGGGCAAACTGCGTGTGTGTGTTGACCCAAAACCGTTGAATGAGGCCTTGGGTAGAGAGCATTATGCGGTACTTACCCTAGAAGACATTTTGCCATGTTTGGCAAACCTAAGTGTTTCACGAAGGTAGACCTCTATTCGGCATTCTGGTACGTGATTTTAGATGATGAATCCAGTTTCCTTGCTAACTTTTCAACACCGATCAGGCGTCATGGTTGGCTGCGTTTACCATTTGGTTTGAATGTGTCGAGTGAAGTTTTTCAAAAGCGATTGGTGCAAGTGGTAGACGATTCATATGGTGTAACATGCGTTGCAGACGATGTTTGGATGTATAGCTCGACAGAAAAAAAGCAGGACACTAGCCTCCACTGTTTCTTGCAGCATTGTGTGCCAAAGGACATCAAGCTTAAACGTGAAAAAATTGCATTTCGGAAAGACGAGATGGTTTTCCGTGGGCATTTGCTAACAACACAAGGGGTCAGGGTAGATGCAGGAATAAATTAAGGCAATTCGAGAGGTGCCGCCTTCTAATGACGTGAAGGATATGTAACGCTTAAACGGTATGGTGAATTGAGCCATTTTCTGCCAAGACTCGCTGATATCATGACACCGAGCGGGAAGTTAACTCACAACGAAGTAAAGTGGAGTTGGGGAAATGTACAGGAAACTGCATTCGAAACTAATAAGCACCTCATCAACAACGCGCCTGTACTCGGGTATTACGATCCAGCACAGCCTTTGGAGGTACATTGGGACAGTATCCAAGACGGAATAGGTGCTGTTCTCTTACAGAATAGAAAACCTTTGGATTTCCGCAGTCCAGCACTCACCGTGACCGAGTAGCGTTATGTGCAGATTGAGAAGGAAATGCTTGCGGTAGTCTATGCCATGGAGCGTGTCAACGATTATACTTTCGGTAGAAAGACAATGTTGTATACCGACCACAAACCGCTTGTGTCAATAGCCAGGAGACCGCTGCACGTCGTTCCTCGTCGCCTTCAGCGTATACTTAACCGGCTTCAATAGTACCACGTAGATATTGTGTATACGCCTGGTGCACAGCTGTTCCTCGCGGATACGCTGTCAAGAGCTCATCTGCCGGTATCCGAGCATAGTTCGGAAGAGGTCGAAGCAGTAAATTTAGTACAGCACCTGGCAGTGATAGAAAACCGCCTAAAGAAAATAAAGCGACACACAGAGGGAGACGTAACGCTTTCAGCTTTGCGAGAGGCTATTCTAAATGGGCGGCCAGAAACAAAGAAGCAACTGCCTAAGGAACTAACACTCTACTTCAATTTTCGGGATGGAATCCCTGTCTATGATTGTTTGCTTTTCAAGGGTAGCCGTATTCTGATTCCGTCATCGCTCCGAGGAGAAATGCTGAAATAGGTTCATCGCGCTCACCTTGGTGCCGACAATACCATTAATCGAGCAAGAGAGTTGATCTTTTAGCCAAGAATGACGGGTCAAATAAAAGATCATGTATCGAAATCCGGCAAAGGAGGGAACAAATGAGGCTGCATGATGTCCCACCGTGGCAGAAGGTGGCGGTGGATTTATTCAGTGATAACGGGAAAGATCACTTGCTCACGGTGGATTACTACAGTGATTATTTTGGAATTGATCTACTCACCATTACGACCACAAGGACAGTAAAAAAACAAGCTCGGATGTCAGTTCGCGCGGCACGATATACCGGAGGAGCCGGTCTCAGACAGTGGGCCCCAGTTTACCAGCAGTGCTTTCCAGGCGTTCGCAACCGAGTGGAAATTCGTGCACCAGCAAACCAGTCCATATCACAGTCAATCGAATGGAAAGGCGGAATCGACAGTGAAGCAGGCAAAGCGACTGGTATCAAAGGCTAGAGGAATTGGGCAAGACCCGTATCTCATTCTACTGAAGAATCGCAACACTCCTTCGACGAATATCGATTTAAGCCTAGTGCAGCGCCTCTAAAGACTAGACCTCTGATACAGGCACCTGCCACACTTTTACGCTCAGTTTTGCCACAGCTCGTACGAGTACAGAACAGTCGGAAACGACGAATGACCACTCAGAAACGGTACTATGATCGCGGTGCACGGGTACTACCTGAGCTAACAATGAGGGGGGAAGTGTGGGTTCAACCATTGCCCGATAGTCAAGAGCCGTAGAAGAAAGGTCTGGGGATTGCGGGGGTCGGTGCCAGGTCATGCGAAATACACGTCGGAGGGAAAACGTTCGGAGGAAATGGAGTATATTTGAGACG